CAGTCGGTTAAGTGTCTGCCTTCAGCTCAGGTCATAATCTCACGGTTTGTGAGTTCAAGCCCCGCGCTGGGCTCTGTGCTTTCCTTGCAGAGCCTGCTTCGGGTCCTCCGTCCCCCTCTCTCTGCCCCTCCCCCTCTTCAGTGCGCTCTCTCCCTCTCTCTCTTAGAAAAAAAAATTTTTAATTAAAAAACAACAACAAAGTATATGTGTGTGTTCCCTAGTTCTCTCCAGAAAAAGGGCCTCAAAGCAATATTGCCCCGGGGTCCCTGAGGCCCCTCTGGCAGTGGCTGTCTCATCATTTCTCAACACCTCCTCCTTTCCAGAAGGGACCAGGACTCCCAGGAGTAGCATCGCGGCTAACTCCCGGGTGGGGGCAGAACGAATGCAAATTACCTGGACTATCTTCCTGTGCCAGAAGGAAATGTTAAAACAAACAACAAAAACAAAAACGATGGGGCCCATCAAAAGGACACAGAGGCCAGCTTAAGGTCTCCCACTGGCCCAACCCCGGACAATTTGAACATCCTAATGAACGATGATGTAAGAATACTCGAAAGCTTCCTGATAACACACAAAATATACAGCGGAGAATGCGAGGCCCTTCCTTGAGTAAAATGCTAACTAATAAATGCAGGAGAGATGACGGAGGTCGAGAAAGGGGTCACCATTCAGCAGCCGTTGTGACAGTAATAATCATTCCGGCAAGAATCATTCATGGATGCCCAAACAACCGAGTGAAAAATGTGTCGGGGACCAAGATATTGACTAAGTCTCCAAAAATCTCTACTTACTCATCACAAAGGGAGACGTCCGTGGGAGGGATCTGGTTAACCAAGGGATCAACGGCAACATCGCTAGTTAAGGGACCGACGTGCCTCCTACCCAGTGCCTACCAAGGACACAGCATCGCTTCTCTGGTGTTCCGCCAAAAATGCGCAAGGTGGATCTCATCATGAAGAAAGATCGGACAAACCCACACGGAGGAGACTTGGCTCCAAAATGTCAAAGTCATGAAAACAAAGAAGGGCCCAGGGATGGTTCCAGATGAACAGAGCCAGGACAACCAAATGCGACGTGGGGCCCTGGCTTGGAGCCTGGAGCCGGAAAATCAAATCGGCTACAAAGAGCATCACTGGGACCATCAGAGAACTTTCAATAGGGACTGTTTAGGATTGTAATAACTTTGAAGTCCCTGACTTGGAAAACCGCCCTGTGTTTTGGTAAGAAAATGGTCTCGTTCTCGGGAAATTCACATGGAAGTTCTTAGGGGCATAATGTCTGCCCTGCGCTCTCCCAAGTCCAGCAATTATGATAACGGATTATTTTCAGTAAAAAAAAAATAATAATAATAATTAGAACATGTGTGTGTGTGAATATGGCAAATTATCAATCTTGGGGAAGGCTAGAGTTCTTTGCACTATTTTTTCAGGGAAGGGAAGGTGGAGGAGAAAGAGAAGGTTCCTCGAGGGCCATCGAAGATTACAGAAATACCCATAGAACGGAAATGGTCTTGCTCGCTCATTGACTGCCCCGGCTGAAAATATTCAAAATGACATCCCTGGCTTCTGCAATTCGAAACGAGGCTGCTTTCTTTGTGAGAGGCGTCCTGGAACAGTTTCGAGGTCCCCATTCCCTCTGGACTGATGTCAACCTATGTCTCCAGTGGATTCCGTACTTGAGGCCGGAGTGCTGGAGTCGAATCCTCTCCCTACCCCAGCTGGGCCAAGGGCTCCTTGGCCCTTCGAGGCCACTGACCTTCTGCAGCTTATGGTCCATGTTCAGATAGCGGTTCCTCTCAATGCGCAGGAGATCCAACTCTTCCCGCAGGGCCGCATTCCGCACCAGCTGGATGTCAAAGCGACAGGTGACCTGGGGGGGGGGGTACAAAAGTCTGTCTGAGGCCCCGCCTGCCTCCCTCTTCCACACTCGGCCAAGGTTGGGCGCTTGTCACGTGCGGGGGCCCATTCCCTATTTGGGGACCCTGAGAGCATTGCCCAGCTCCCCTAAGGACCCAGGCATCAGTCTCCTTTCCTTGGGGACACTCCATCCCTCAGGATGCCCCCTGATCCTTCTCAGGGAGCCCAGCATTTCAGGCCTGCCCCCCTCCAGGCATCTGGTCCACCATTTCTGGAACGTGACCCCATGCTCAGTTTCCCCTCCCAACCCCCAGAGCTCAGGTCTGGAGAGAGCCAAGAGGCTGGCCCTCACCCTGTCCAACTGGTCTTCTAGGATCTTGATCCTTCGCCGGATCTTGACCTTCTGATCCAGGACGAGTCCCGGGGCCTTGATATCCTTACTGTGGCTAAAGATCCGGGTCTCCCACTCCTGGATCTGGAGGAGAGGGGGTGGTAGTAACTGTTCGATGGCTGAATGTGCGAGTGACTGAGGCACCAAGAGAGGTGAGCGGCCGAGTGTGGCTGCCATCTGCCAACCTTGTGGCCCCAGCCACCTGTTCTATCCTTCTTCTGCTGGCGGGCCCCACTTTGCGTGTGGTTCTAGCTTCCAAACACAACGAGCCGCCCTACCAGCCACATGACCCAGGTTCCTACAGTCCATGTGACCGTCCTAGGGATGGGCACGTGAGCCAAGCGGAACCAGCCTGAATCCCTTCCTGGTATTTTGGGGGCACATGCGTGCGGTAGATGGATGGGGCTCTAGGACTTCCGCGGTCCAAGTCCCCAGCACACGGAGGGTCCTGGGAGGATGAGGCCAGCAGACAAAGTGGAGACAAGAGACTGAGAGAATGATGAGAATGAGCCCTGATGCCGTGAGAGTCCCCTGGGTGTAGCTATGTGTGAAACCTTTGCCAACCTGTCCTCATTTCCCTATTCATCTTTACTCATTCGGGGCATGCCGTCTCCCCAATAAAATGGGAAGCTCCATGAGGGCAGAATGCTGTCTTTTTGGGCGTGTGCCTAACACAGTAGGTTCTCACTAAAACGTGCAGATCAGACGAATAAATGGAATTGCTTTAAGGCTGCGTTTCCTAATTCGGGTTAGATTGGGTCCCGCCCCCCCCCC